ATAAAGACGTAGGTACCAAAATTACTTGAGTTGTTAAATATAACTTAGATACATGTTGGAAAGGTCGGCTTATCTGGATAATCCATTAAGCTTGTCTTTAAAATGGATTACCACGATTAAAAATGAATAACCTCTAATCCACTTTCTACTTTATAAGGTAGACATATATTATGTTGAGACATGTAGAAATTCGAGAGCCGATAATCTCGCACTGGTAAAGCTCCCCCAGAACCACTATTTAAATCTGAGTTAGGCGATTATGAATAGGTTTTCTACCATCAGTCAGTCGCCAGACCCAACACCGTTATTCCTCCTTTGCCATTTAGAGCAAAAATAGGAATACCTTTCATACTTTACCTTATCTATGGTGGTGATATAAGAATAGGCATCGCCATATTTTATCCCCTGGATGGATTTAGAGGTGCTATACGAAATTTCAGACGAAACTTATGGCTTCTGTTAGATTGCGCAAAACCATCTCTTTACGCCAATAAAATATTACCAAACATAATAACGTGAAGGCAAATTATGCCTACGTCTGGAGAGGCCCATGCCCAGTAGTGAATTTTTACGGGGTAATGAAAAATAATAAGAAAAATCAATTATATTTTACTGTAAATCTTGTATTTTTATTTGTGCTTTAAAATAAATAATATCGTAACGCGAAACCGACTGGTTTTTATAATTGACAAATTTAAAATAGTTTGGAAAATTCAAAAGTGTCCATTTAATTTTGACAAAAAAAATAGGTACCAAATAAATCGATTACACAAAGTATAAAATCGATATAGCTGTATGGTACATTTGTCCTTTGTCTATCAAGGGCTAAAAATATGAAAGCGCCTTCAAATCTTTAGTAGCTTTAAAACTTATGAAAGTTGAAAATAATTTTATTAATAAACCATGCGTACTAGGCTATGGATATGAAATAGGGAACCAGTTGATGTAATTCTGAAACTAATAAAAAAACCCGGTTTCGATACGTCAATTTTTTTTTAAAATTACCCTTTCAACCAGTCGCTAAGATCATTTAGCTACAAGCAAGTTTTTTTTTTTATAGAAATAAGAGAGACAAACTAGCGCACTGTACACTTGATGGCAAATGAATGCTGTGTAATGGACTAAGAACTAAAATTGGGAGAAGATGGAATTATTTGTTACTAGTAAAATGATCTCTGCTGTCACCACCTTCTGAAATATTATTATTATACTGCAATATTACGCTGAGTAAAGTTCCACGAGCATTTGATCTGTGATTTACAGTTGAGCAAAAATTATCCATTCCTTACTGTCCATCTCAAGTCCACTGGTTCAGCTACTCAGGTGGCTTTGCAATCGCTAGTTTTTATTATTATGTTTGTTATCTGGAAGATGCTGCTGCCCATCTCTTGTTTCATTTCTCTCTGTCGCCTCCTATGAACACCCAGGGGATGATATGGGGTAGAAAATACTCTACGTATTTATGTTTTAGAGTAAAGCGATCCGTATAGAGATAGATACCGTGTAGTATTGATGTCAGAATATCCGCTACTCTATATATCTATCAATTATCATCGTGTAGGTGTCGTTGAGATTTTAGAGGGAAACAAAATCAGATGGTGGCAGTGCCTTCTTAATAACTATCTACTAAAAATTAAAAAAATAAACTGACATAGTCAACCCGCTTACCAAGCGTGGCAACTATGACAAATATGCCCATGAGACAATCCATGGGGGTGGTCTATTCAGTAGTAGACTTTAACAGGCTATAACGGTGACGGTAAAGAGATCGTTTTAACCTTTGCCCCATTAGTGATTTGCCGTTCGCGTTTGATCTAAATTTAATGCATGTTTCAAAGGGGCCTAATCAACAGTAAATAATACGCACCTATAAAATCATTGAAACGCATCCGCGCGACGTGGAACAAGCGATGCGTGGCTACACAAATACGGGGCTCTAATCAGGTTAGCGACGCATTCGCCTTGAAACTTTCCTGGAGGTCGTAGTGATGTTAAATATGTCTTATTAAAAGGAATAAATTGAAAAAATCAAGCGCAGGAATTTTGAGTAGACAAAAAATGCTAAGCTATATTTACGACATTTTTTATTAATGAGCATTTTACAACTTAAGAAGCAATTATTAAAATGAAGAATACATTTATCTATTATAGAGACGTTATAAGATTTAAGATAATCATGAAATTCCTTTTATTTTATCAATTTATCGATTTGTTACAAATATCTGTAATTTTCGGATAAATATAGCCTAAATCACTTCTGGCATTGCTCTCTACCTGTTCGTCAAGTTTCATTACAATCGTTTCAGCCATTCCAAAAATAAGTCTGGACCAATTCAAAATTGTTATTCATGTCTAAATGGCATGCTCATAACGTTTCATTGTAAAGGCAGTTATCTCGATAGTAAAGGCAGACACTTCAATTTTATTTATATGAATATAAATATCTAAATTAGTAACTTAAATCACGTCAAATTTCAACACCTTCTAATCATCTAATATGGTTTTGGAGTTTTCATTTTTAGGGTTCCTTACCTCAAAAGGAAAAAACGGAACCCTTATAGGATCACTTTGTTGTTCGTTTGTCTGTCTGTCAAGACCCTTTTTCTCAGGAACGCGTGGAGGTATCAAGTTGAAATTCAAATACTCAAGTCTACTTTTCCTTCGAGCTGTGAAAAAATCAAACTTCTAAGCCAACGCAATCAAAAGATACAGCCATTTATGCCGCAAATTTTCGACATTCGCAAGGGAATCAAAACCTACAGGGTACTTCCCGTGAACTCAGAATCTTAAAATTTGGTACGAAGTAGCGTATTATAGCACAGATAAAGGAAAAATTGCGAAGAGCATACATTTTTAGTTACATCATATATTAAAAATATTTTTATTAATTTTAAACTTATATACCTACGGATTTGTTCGGAACCCTCGGTGCGCGAGTCCGACTCGCACTTGGCCGGTTGTTTTAGAATTCATTTTCTATTTCTGAATGAAACGGTGACCAGCGAGCCCACAGCAAGTGCAAGCAAGTGCCACTTTATAGCAAGTGGATGCTGAATCCATAGACATCTTCTCTTCCCTATATATCGTCGATTAAATATTAAACCGATATTACCTCTGAGGACAAAAATGTTATGGCTCGTTCCCGTAACTAGAAAAAGGTCTTCGGTCTCGGCATTAAACATACGAAACCCAGCCAAATTATTCATCTACATACTTTACAATAATACTATGAGAGCGCGGTCCGGTCAAACCGACCTATTTCTGCTACAATCATGATAAAACTATACTACTTATATGTGGTTTTGCCCTGGCGTGGATATTTTAGAATAATCGTAATGAATTAAATTTATATTTATACGTGGTTTTAAGAGTATCGTGTCTTACCAGTGATGGTAATGCGTGGTGGTTTTATCACATTTTACCAGTAATAACTACAGCTCTTTTACCTGTGTACCATAAATTATTTATCTGCTTATTTCAAACAGAGTATTAATAGGTTATTTAAAGTTAATGGTTTGTTCAATAAACTCAGGTATAAGAGGAGGCCTGGGCAGAACAGCACAGTCGGGTACTGATAAACTGTGCAGACGTATGTAGATATTATAACAAGTTCTATTATTTAAACTATAATAAAGTTATTCCGAAAGAACTGAGAGATCTTTACTCAAAAATCATACATTATTTTATTGTATTAAATAATACATAATATGAAATATCTATACGAATATACCTTGTCTTTTATTCGTATACAGTGATTCATCGTTGAAAAGGTAATATAGCATCGCTTAATGGGCAACACGAAATATCTTTTAGTATGTTTTATTTTAAAAACCAAAACATTTTTGCGTAATTTTAATAACTGATCTTAAACCTTTCGGGGTATTTATGTCTATCGATAAAAATGTATTATATCTACATCCCTAGCTGCCTTCATTACAGGTGAGTGGACGTAGGCGCACCCTCGATTGATGGTAATATTATTTTGTACGTGCCGTCGAATTCGATCAAATAGTTTTCTCATTATGGAGGAGAAAGGGCATTTCTGTTACAGAAGTGAAGTTGGCAAGCGAGCACATAGTCAACGTGATGGTAAGGGGATTCTGTGGTCCATAGTCATCTACATCTCTCCATGACTAAATTAAGAATTTATATATATTAAAAATTAATTAAGAACCATGGATCATTCCTTAAAACTGAGAAGGAATGCCTAACAACCTGTAATGAAGGCATTCACGACTTTTTCTGCCACCAGGGCGGCGCCACTAGAAAGTGAGGTATAATATTTGTCAGATTTCATAGCGGGGAAGTTAATTTGTTCGGAAAATGTAAATGTTATTGTTTCTTTCTGCACTATTAGCTATATTTTATTTTTGTATTAATAACATTAAAAATAATTAACCAAACTACAGATATATATGTACCCTTTACCTTAAGGGGCTACTCCATGCGAACGACCTTGAGCATTTTGCCGGCGGCACGCCGCTCGCCTCAATATATTGCTTATTTGAAATATGTACGACGCCACCACCTATTGTAGGTACGAACGTAGTATTATTTTTTCAACATCAATGAACTAATTTATGGAAATACACACAGCGTACAACGATAAATGTATTTTAATTTTTTTATTCGGTATATTAGTTGCATTATATTAGAATTATGTATTTTCATATATTATCTAATTATGAAATTTTATAATTAATTATATATTAAAAATGAAGCATTGAAAATTATGAGTTTAAAAGATACCTATTCACTATAGGTAAATAAATAGATAGCTCGCCTTTTGTACAAACATTTGGTGCAATAAAGAATAAATAAATAAATAGGATGTTTCGTAGATGTGTTTTTGATTATTGTTAATTTTACGTGTCACGTATTGAAAAGTAATATAAAGGGTGTCCGGTGGCAGAATTAGGATTTCAAAATTAAATAATAAAAAAACTGCAAAATATTTTTTTTTATTTCAATGACTATAACAAAGAAGGGAAGTGCGGGTTTTATTTCTTAAAAATTATTTCGTCTAAATGTTGACCATCACGTCGGACACACTCTTGGAATCTGGCTTCAGTATTGCGCGCCACTCGCTGGAGAAGGGACGTCGGGATGCCATTAACCTCGCGAACGATATTTTCTTTTAATGCTGAGATGGTCGGTGGGGCGGTTTCATAAACTTTACTTTTGAGGTACCCCCACAGAAAAAAGTCCATGGGGGTAAGATCCGGCGACCTGGGTGGCCAGGGGATGTCAGCAAAACGGCTTATCAATTTGTTAGGGAACAAATCACGAAGAAGCGCCATGGTCTCTCTAGCAGTGTGAGGCGTGGCGCCATCTTGCTGAAACCATGTCTGTGAACTGTAGGCAGGATGTTCTCTTAATATTGGCAGGAAAAAATCGTTAAGCATTCGCCGATAAGAAACGCCGGTTACAGTAATGGCTTGTCCTTGACGATTTTCAAAAAAATAGGGTCCGATTATTCCTCTGCTTGACAATGCACACCAAACCGTCACTTTGGGACTGTGAAGTGGCTGTTGATGTTTCAATCGCGGGTTCTGTCCTTTAGGTGACCAATAACGGCAGTTCTGTTTATTTACACTTCCATTTAAATGAAAATGGGCTTCATCGCTCCAAAAGATTGTGTTCACTGTACGAAATCGCTGCAACATTGTTTCGCAGAAACTTTTGCGCCAATTGTAATCATTAGGCTTAAGCGCTTGCACAATTTGAATTTTAAAGGGGTGAAGTTTAAGGTCCTTTTTCAATATTTCGTGCACAATCGTTTTTGGGAGCCCTAGAGCAGCCGCTCTCTTACGCACGGACTGTCGCGGGTTATCGCGTAAACTGTTTGCGACAAGTTCGATGTTGTCATCAGTCCTCGACGTTCTGCTGGATCCCGGCCGCGGATTATTTGCTGCTGAACTTGTTTTTCTGAACCTCCGCACCCACAATCGAATCAAATTTTCGCTTGGCGCATCACGTAACCGTCGGATATTGTACCGCGAACAAAATCTTCGACGAGCAATAGCACAGGAATCGTTTGCTTTAAAATAAGCTTCGATTGCGAACGCACGTTGTTCACCCGTCCACTGCGACATCGTGACTAAGGAACCCGCACGAATGACGAATCGAACGTGACCCCCCCGCCCGCCCCTCCGCTAACGGTTCGAAAACAGTTCGAAATTTAAATCCTAATTCTGCCACCGGACACCCGGTACTTACCTACTAATACAAAAATCAACAAGAAGTATAAGGGTTCAATCTTTCAATTTCAATTGTAAAAAAACGTTACCCACACTAGGATTTTCTCCTGTGTCGTGGAGGCAGTTTACAAACATAAATTGCACAAGGACAAACATCCAGACCCGGAACAATTATTTGTAGGCCATACAAATATTTGTTCCGTGCGAGATTCGAACCCGCGGCCCCCAGCGCAACAACTGATTGCTAAGCCACTACGTCACGGAGCCGTCGCCGGGTTATAGCTAAAGTGACCATACGTCCCGTTTTGAACGGGACTGTCCCTTTTCTCGGTCACCTGTCCCATTGTCTCCAAACAAAGCTCCGGGACACAAAATTGTCCCGTAACTCGTTGAATGGAAGTATTCAAAGTCAACAATCTTCAACATAATTTTTTTTAATCAAATATATTTTATGTCTACCTGGTACGAATGCTCCGATAAAAAGAGTATTTTTTTATTTTGAATAAACTGTGGACGTCTGAAAGAAACACTTACGGTTCCAGAGTTCTAAAGGCGATGTTGTTAACAAAGATAACAATAAAAAAACTTGAGCAGAATTTTATTTTTATTTAAAATCATCACCAACTTTATTAAAGCAAATTTAATCCACTGACAAATGTAATTAATAATTAAAAAAAATATGTTGCATTTAATAATTACCGTCTATACCGAATATAATTTTACAGTGAACACTAATTGTATAAAGTTATAGTTTTTAGAGTATAAATAAACCCATGTCCTGTTTTGAGTTAAAAAATAAATGGTCAGTTTAGTCTTTTTAGTTAAATTTAGTTTTAAAATTTTTTAGTTAATAGTAAAAAGTAGGTATATTAGTACCTACTTAGATACTTTTTACCGAATTATAAGTATAGAACACCTTATTTACTCAATTATTTTTTGAAAAAGAAGAAAAAACAAGCAATAAATAATATACTATATTTTAGCAAAAAACTATAACTTAGTAATACTAATTATAACTTAGTACATAAATGAAAAACTCATAACTGACTTTTTGGCCCGACCCAGGATTCGAACCCGGGACCTCATGATCTGCAGTCGCACTACTACAACCACTAGACCAACGAGGCAGAACTATACTTAATAAAATATTGTGGTTGGGTGATAATATTGAATTAGTCTTTTATAGTGTAAATTATAATATTTGTAGAAATTTTAATTATGGATTCGAACCTTACATGCTAATGGTGCTTCATTTTTTTATTTGCATTTACTTCAAAGAAAATACACGCAAAAAGCTTCATCGCGCAGTAAAAAACACAACAAATATATGTATAACTAATACGAAAAATTATACCCAAAACAAACAAATAATACTACCTATAAATAACCTAATAAATAATAATATTATAATGTTATCGACTGATAAGATGACGTGAGCGCACACGGCGCTGGCAGACGCTCTAACGACACGGGTTCCACGTCGAAGAGCTCAGGGCTCACTGACTCCAGCAAGCCCGTGAGCAGTGAATACGCCCAGATTTTAAAATAATTTCTTAATAAAATCAAATTTTGGTCTTTTGAAAAAAATTTTACTATAGAAATGTTCATTAATAAATTGCCTATCCATTGGTGTAAATCGCAAAATAAAATAATACTTAATTTACGAGGAGATGCATGTTATCAATAATAATTTCACATTTATGTGGTTTCGTTGTAAGGAGATTATATTAATATTTATTCGTTTAAAAAAAATTGGATATAGCTTTTATGAAATCAAGATTATGTAGAAATATAATGTGTTTTTTATTTGTTGATATATCTTTTAAATAAAAAGTAGATAGCTCCTAAAAACCACACAAATAACGACTAGCGCGACATTTTGCTCAACCTGCGCCTTAAGGTGTTACATTTAAGTTTTTAAATAAATAAATAAATATTCATAAAAGTAGAAAAATTAAAAAAAAAGTTTAAATATGCAAAAAAATTAAAGAGCAAACCACTGACGCAATGTTTTGTGTATTAATTTAATACTCTAGAAACTGATAAACTTTTATTAAAAACCAACTTCTTAATTAAATGACATTGTATAACAAAAAACTTTACCTCAGTGTCAACTAGCGACATCTGGTGAGCAGAAAATTATCAGCCCTCATTAAACTGGCACTCTATACAATTAAGACCAGAACGCAACAGTGCTAACACGAGGCAGCAGATGTAGATATGAGGGTGGTATACCAACCCAGGAGGACTAGTGGACTCAGTAAAAAGTTGCCACATGTAGCTTTCTTGGTTTAAACCTTGAACTGCTATAGTCACTTACCATCAGGCGGACTTTATTTTATCTATCATTTAAGTTTTATAAAAAAAGTGTTTTAGAGCCTTGTGGAATATTTAGAGACCCGACGGTATGACATCAGTCCCGTGGGAGAGAGGTAAAGCCCTATTGTGGGATGCTACTTACGTAGATACTCTGGCGGCCTCTCATCTCAGGAATGAACTGAATAAGTGGTGCAAATTTGAGTCTCTGAGAGATGACTACATATTTGTGCCATTTGTTGTAGAGACTATCGGTCTGTGGGTTCCACGTGCGGTAGGTTTCCTAAAGGAACTTCATCCGCGGCTGGTCGTTGCTGCTTGTGATAAGAGGGCTGGTTCTTTTCTCGCTCAAAGGCTAAGTATAGCCATTCAGCGAAGAAACGCAGTTTCTTGGCACGATACCGCGGGTAATAGGACTGTATAATAATTAAGTTACTAATTTTAGTTTTTTTTTTAAATTATAGTTTTAAAAAAAATTCGGTAAAGCCATCAGAGAACCAAAATTTCACAGCTTAATAAAGAGAACAGCATTATTAGAACAATGGTAGCAACCCTGCCAACCCGTCTCCCCAACGATGAGTAGCAAAAAGTAGAGGAAAATTTCTCATGTAATACCTATTTGCCAGCCGACGCACTCTTTGTATCGCCTGTGTCCAGATGTGTTGTAATTGTAATTACGTCATCAGACGTGTGAAAGTGCATGAAAACTAATTTATAAAATGCCACTACATTAATATAGTATCATATCATATACATATAGTTCAAGCTAATACCTACAAATTATTTAAAAACTACTTTAACAATAAATATTGACTGATTACATTGTTTTAATTATTATTACATTGATTATACTTAAATTTTCTCCTGAATCATGAAGTAATTTGTTGTATATAAATCGCAGATGGCTAAACATCAAAAAAATTATTTGTAGGTCTCACAAACACTTGTTCCTTTTCTAAATTGTTATTTAGCGGTGGAAATAGATAAGAGTGATACCACATAGTAAAGATGAATGCTTAGTTTTAGCTAGCTGCAACAAATTTGAGTTAAAACTAATTGTGCTATCTGTGATTATGAGTCTATTATAAGTTCAGGTATATTATAAACACCAAAATTTTACTTTACGGGACTGGAGACTTTCGAACCCGCGAATCCTCAGCAACGCATCCATGCGCTTAGCTACTGAGCTATCGTTGTGAAAATAAATAAAAAGATTGTAAAAATCCTTAAGCAATAATTTCGTTTTTGTCATGTTTGTGTAATGTTCTTTCATCGCCAGATATAACCCTTATCACCTTCATATAGCATAATATGTGAATGATGTTAGCACGCAAATTAACTTAGTAATTGAAACATCACAAACAAAGTTTGGAAGTCGTCGAGTCCGGTAACATTGCATTATGTAGATCAGCGCTGTCTGGGTAGACAAATGGTGTTTGTTGAACAAATTTGACTTTGACTTTGATGCTTGCCTATTACATGAATTCACTCAGCAAGGGACTAATGTAAATTGATTTAGGTTTCTCCACTTTTTTTTGCTCGTATAACATGTTTTTGAGTGTTCGAGCCTTTGTGCTTTATTAGGTTTTTTACATTTAATACACTGGTTTTGAGACATTATTTTATATTCAGATGATGCTTCTCCTTGAATATTCAGTAAATTGAAAAACCCTAGATAATATCCCGTAGCGAGTTGTTTTTACTTTGAAAGATAGAGAGAAATAACTGAGAGTAAGAATAAACACAATAAAAAAAATTAAAAAATAAATAATTGCATTTATCAATAATCAATTTTTCTCTTTACGTTAGAGTAAATTGATCCAAATACGAGTATTATGTTTAGGGACGCATGCTCACTACACAACCTAGTTGTATTAGTATTAAGTTTGATTGATCTGAAATTATGTACTTTACTATACTATGTAACATAATAAAAGTGTTTAAAATTATAATGAGTTTCACAGAAAAAAAAAACAATTTAAATATTTTAATAATTATTTAAACCGAACGTATTATTTACCAAATATTACCACCATAGATTGCAACATATAGGAGATCTCTATGTTGCAATCTATGGTGGTGGCCTATGTTCAGCAGTGGACTTTAATAGGCTGTAATGGTAATGGTAATGGAACGTCATTTTAACTGACTTCAAAAAGGAGGAGGTCCTCTATTGGAGTGTTTTTTTTTTGTGTGTATGTTACGCGATATGTTCGCAGACTGATAAAGCGATTTAAACATTTTTTTAAATAGGATTTACTTCCAGGGTAGTCCCATTAAAATTGGAAGAAAAAATTTCGCCCTCAAGGGTGGACAATAGGGAAAAAGTTCATATGATATCTTTATACATTAAGAACTGATTTTAATGATTATTTTTATAAATTAGGGTAGCAAATAAATAACTTAGTTTTTAGCTATTTGAAGTTCGTTTTTACATTTTGTTAAAAGTTATAATTATAATGTATTTAATTTGTCAGCCTGTACAAATTATGTGAGACGAAATAATTTTCGTTTTTAAACCTACATTAAAAATCTATAATTCTTATGAAGGCTATGTAAATACTCAGCTGTGTTACAAA